CGTTCTTCCCTTTCAGTGATTTAAAATGTTGGCTTCTTGACAAACTGAAGAGAGGCTGGCTTATTTTAAATGCCGCTGACAAACTCATGCACACAACAAGCATCCACGGGGATATGGGTGATTATTCAGGATCTGTACATTTGGGATGACAGAGTCCAAATACCCAGAAAAGCTTTACTGTGTTCATTTGAACCTGGGTTGAGAATTTGTTACAGCCTACAGTTCCTGTCCCTGCTGCTTCATTTTAAATGAAGTTTAACTTTTAGAATTCAGTGTTCCATGTAACTAAAGCAAAACTTTATATTTTGCAAGAACACAGACTAAGGGGTGTTTGTTTTATATAATACACTGCTCCTTGCTTATTTGCATCAAGTTCATTCCAATCACTTCCATAAGCAGCTTAACTGGTTGCCTGTGTGACCAGCAGAGTGCATAGCGGAGCTTGCACTGTGAATGGTGCTGGTTATAATCTTGTTAATGCCTGACTGACAAACATAACTTTAGTTGTATTCAGTTCTCATCATCACATGGGTCTGTTTTGTTTTTTTTTCTATTCCATGCAACTCTGTGGCTTTATTTATTAAGCAACAACTTATTGTCATCCTTGATTGATTGTATTATCCAGCAATACTTGCCTTGAGCAATCAAAATTAATACTGGTGTTTTTAAATACAAATGATTTGGTTCTTGAGCTTTTGATGAACTAAACCAGTGAAAAGCCAAATCCATCTCTAAGTGTATGGTGTAAATAGCTGAGTTATGCGCTGTGGCAGTGTGAGGGTCAAGGAATCCTCTTCTTACTCAAACACTGGGGAAGCAGTGGAGCTATAGGGGAGGAGTGGAATTGCTCCTGTGACTCCCCAATCTCTGGTGTGTTGGTGGGTGGTTTTTGGGCTGTGGTGTGTGGAAGTGAGAGAGGTTGAGAGTTTTAAATGCGGGAAAGGGAAGTTAAGAATTTTGCAATGAGTTCTAAACACAGTAAGCCCTCTGGTCATCCTTCACTCTTGCAGTACTGAATTCCATAGTCTAGGTCCTGCTCCTGTGAAATGTACTTCTCCATCTCTTTTGTACAAGCCTCCTCTAGTTCTGGTGGAATGTAGTGATCATGACAGGTCATGTGCTTGGGGTGGCACTTTTCAAGGGACAGCACTCCGGTGGTGGTTGTTTTCTTTGCTTCAGCAGGGGCACTCCGGCCCCCTTCTTTCTTTTTTTTTTTTTGCTTGTGGCGGCAGAGCAAATCCCATGCAGGGCTTTGAATATCAGACCAGAGACTTTAAACAACTCTTGGTGACATCCTGCTGTGACCCAGGAACCTCTTGGTGCCAACTGGCAGAGAGCACAGGGGGTTATAGGAATCCTTTGGGTTTCATGTCTACATAATAGTGTACCAAAGGGTGGCATGTGGGGGCTCTACTAGCAGCCAGTAATGCACTGGTCAGTTTAGTCACTGTGAAATGCCTGTATGGGTAATGTTTAAGAAGTCATGTATCTGTACTGGAAATTAAAGCCCTGAAGTTTTAAAAGCAGGTCACCAGGAGGTGACAAGCCTTGGCCAGATTCTGTTCAGGCAGGGGATGGGGATACTTCTCTCTTTGTCTGGTCAGGTGTGTATTTCTCACAATGGAAGTGTAGCTGCATGCAAAGCCAGATGCCAATTTAAAGATTGCAAAGTCAACAAGAGAGGGAGGCCACAGGGAAGAACAATCAACAAGGGGATTTCCTGATTATGACCAAAGATCAAAGAACTTTTGATATATCTGGGATCACAAAGAGACACAGGAGATCTTTCCACAGAGGAGACAAGAGGTACTGTGACTCGTCTCATGAACAGAACATCAGTCATGACTGACTGTAATACCTTGGAAGAACTTTAGGTGACCTTTTGCTCCATACAATAGGTCCTAGAAAGCATGTTATGATTTTATTTTTTATGTAATTATTTGTTTCCATTAATTCTACTTGCTTCTCAATCTCTGTTCTTTCTTCTGGTTACAAGAAGAACAAAAAGTTTATATCTTAGAGCTGTGTGTTGAGCAGAGTGGTGATCCTGAGGTGTAACTGACAATGACTGTTCTATTCCTTTGGCAGTAGCAGATCTGTGAATTCTGTGAGTGTCCAGTGGAACAGGGGCTGGACACGCCAAGGGACGGGGTTGGGGTGTGCCTGTCATTAACCTGTTAAGAGAGGGGGAGTGCTGCGGAGGTCTGGAAGGCAGTGCTTGTATGGCCAGAGGCTGGTGGTGTAGGGGAAATGACCCACGGCAGGCACAGACAAGACTTTCTCACACTCAGAGCAGGGGTAGTTAGGTGCCTAACAACTCTGGATACCCCCGGGAAGCAGCACACCTGCCCCTATTTAAGTCTATGGCCATTTTGCCACTGACTTCCGTGCAGCTGGGATTTCACCCTCTGTGGTCAATAGAGAGCCAGTGCAAAAACCACCCTCTTAATTTCCACTTTCTTATGCGGCAACATCCCCTCAGTCCCCACACACACAGTGCTGCAACTGTTGTCGCCCTGCTGAAACCACCCACCATGCTCTAATCTCAATGCTAAAACCCCACCTCTTAGGCCTTGGCTACACTGGCGCTGTACAGCGCTGCAACTTGCTGCACTCAGGGGTGTGAAAACGCCCCCCCCCCCGAGCGCAGCGAGTGCAGCCCTGTAATGCGCCAGTGTGATCAGAGCCTGCAGCGCTGCAAGCTACTCCCCTCGGAGAAGTGGAGTACATACAGTGCTGCGAGAGCTCTCTCGCAGCACTGGCGGTGCGACTACACTCACGCTTCACAGCGCTGCCGCAGCTCCACTTGCTCCCTCTTGCTCCCACTCCATGCTCCTTCCCTCCAACGCTGCTGTATGTGTCCATAGAGGTGCTGCACCATAGGATGTCTGCACGCCTGTGCGCTCCTGAGTGGTGAAGGCAAAGCAGTGCCCACAGGCCTGCGCAGAGAAGCAGATTGTCCTGATTTGGAGGCCGCATAAAAAGGTGCAAGATCTGCTGCTATATGGTTCCTTCTCAGCTGCCTGCAGCTCAAGACAGAGCAATTGCGTATCGTCTGATTCTCAGCCTCTCGCCTTTCTTAATTTTCCACTTTATTATTATTATTATTATTATTTTTAGTTTCATACAGTTGTATTTAGAGGGGTGGGCTGTGTGCCCCTCATGTCCACTTACACTCACTGGGTTATGCCGAAGACCGCAGGCTTTAAGCCCTACCAGAGGTCTCTTCCCGGTAGTGATGGGCATTCAAGCTATCTTTGCTGCCTCGGAGACACCCACGTACTATCAAAGTGTAAGATCTATATGGGATTTAAAGGCAGGTCAGGGAAAGGCAGAGGCTAGACTGATGCTCCTTCTAATCGAGTGTTTGCTAGCCCCAGTGGAGTCTGCTTCCCCCAGCCCCAGACACCAGCCTCAACATCCCAGCCTGCCACAGTGACAGCAGCACCTTCAGAGGCTTGGAAACCTCTTTCTCCTTCCAGAGAGCCTAGGAAGAGAGGTAGATGGCCCCATAAATCCCACTCTAAGGAGACCTCCTGTCCCTCAAGCGGTTCAGCTAAGGCTCCATCTGAGACTGGTACTGAGCCATCGGTACCACACAAGAAGCAGTGTGCAGACAGGTCTTCTAACACTGGGGTTCCCAAACTTTTTTCCCTGTGGCCGATATGTGCAGCTGCAATGGGCAGGGTGGCCCACTATTAATGCTTCTTGAGGAAAATTATTAACTTTAATTATTACATACATGTAAACTCTATGTACTCACAGGGAACCATCTTTCCTCTCCCCTACCGACCCTGGCCCTTCAGTGCTGCAGCTTGAGGGCAGATGCCACCCCTCCTCCCAAAAGGCAGTGCACCCTACTTAAGCCCGGCATCCCTTCCCTTGAAGAGCCAAGGCCAAAAGCACTGGTTGGAGGGTGGGGTGGCTGAAGTCCCTGGGTGCTGCCCATCACTGTTATCATTATATCATTGTTATGGAGGATATTTATGTGCTATAATGTGGCCTTAGCTTCAGTTGTGGATGGAAGCCATGCCAGTTCCCTGGTCCCCCTTCCTCCAGCCTCCCCACCGTGTGTGATCCAAGGGATCCAAGTGGGGAGGGGGGAGGATTTAAGTGTGCAACTATTGATTTAGTCTAGCAACTGTTGCATTGATGGTTGGAGGAAATCAGATCTCAGACTACAGGCTTAGGAAGCTTAAGTAGGCGTTCTTCTCTTCCTATAGCTGTCACACTGTAGTACAGTTATTCCAATCCTAGTATTACAGCACTGTGGCAGGAAGACTGCATTATAAATCCAAGTGGCTGTATCACGTAAAAAAGTCCCTTCGTGACAATGGCATACTTGTGTTGTCCACGTGTGGCACAAAGTCTGGGGAATGGGAACATGGAGGCAGTTTCATCGACATCAAGTTTCTGCATCCTAGTTCAGAATCCTGATAATGTTTGTTATAATTTTTTCCCACCTCTGGCTAGTGATGCTTAACAATTTTTCATACAGGAGAAAATGAAGACAGTGAATGATATTACTAGCAGGGAAATCTTCCAGCTCTGTATCTTAGCTCTCTCCGTTCATTTGATGTGCTGTTCAGGCAGCCATGGATAAAATGTCTTCTCATTGATAAACAGGCCTTCAGCCATAGGCCTGGAAACTTTTTCTCTTCTAATCAAGGGTCTCCAGCAAACTGACATCCTCTAAAGGTTGTCCCTGATAGGCTGACCATAATAGTGTTGAAACCAATATTGGTAAGAGGCCCAATATATGGTAGCAAGCATATAAAACTACATTCTAAAGATTATTAACCAGAAATGAAGGAGGAACTAGATATCTGACTTGTACTATAAATTTTTGCAGGACATGGTCAGTCACATGCTGCATTGTACCTATAAAAGTTTGCTTTTACTACACACTTTTAAATCTATACCTGCCATACTTAAAAACATGAGCTGTATGTGGTGGTCTTATGTCTAGCTGAGAGAAAACAGGAAGGTGTATCTACTCCTTAATCTTGCCTCTGAGCTGAAGCCAGGAGACAGCTGTCATTTTTATACACTTTTGAAAGTCTGTGGCTCAGAATAGAGTGAAGTTTTCGTGCAGGCTGTCTACAGCTTTCAAACACTGTGCCAACCCAAAAAGCACAATAATAGATAGCTCTGTCATTAGGAGTTATTGTATTTACTACTAGGGTAGAGATGGACTGGTCAGACTTCTTTTCACAGTCAAACTTCTTCTTATCAGTGTCTTTGTCAAATTCAACTTTTATAGTTGAGATGTACAGAATCCGCTCCGGAGCTTCACCAGATCTGTGTCGATACCAATGTATAACAGCACTCCTGAAGTTCTGAATGCCAGAAGCCTCACAGACTATACGTGCAGTTTTATTTTCTGCCCTGGTAACGGACAACTGAGTTTGTCTCAGATGTATTTGTGCACATCCATCTAGGAAGAGAACAAGAAAAGAAAACATGAAATTAACATGAATCTGGAGCATGGTGATTTGTTACTCAGTAATGTACAATGATGTAGAAAAGAGTAAAAAAGAAACTTACAAGACAAAACCAAAGCCAGAATAACGACGTGGAGCAGCAACATTTTACGAGGTTTGCTTGGACCTGCATCTATGAGAAATGTGACTGTTGTGCTGGGGTGGAAGGAGAGGTGCATTTGGGGACTGGAAGTGACTCATTTAGTTAACACGTGATGAGGTTTTGTTGGCTGCATATCTTAATTTAAAGTAAGGTAGAGTTGTGGCTGACACTGGCCTGGTCCCCACTAAGTCCTCACTTCGGACTAAGGTACGCAAATTCAGCTACATTAATAACGTAGCTGAATTCGAAGTACCTTAGTCCGAACTTACCGCGGTCCAGACGCGGCAGGAAGGCTCCCCCGTCGATGCCGCGTACTCCTCTCGGCGAGCTGGAGTACCGGCGCCGACTGCGAGCACTTCCGGGATTGATTTATCGCGTCTTAACCAGACGCGATAAATCAATCCCAGAACATCGATTGCCTGCCGCCGGACCCTCCGGTAAGTGAAGACAAGGCCACTAACAAGACTTTACTTTTATCAGAGCAAGAAGAAGAAGAAAATTCTTCAGCTAGCTTTAGACCAGTGTAGATTGTATCACAGAAGTCTTCTTTCTTTCTAGTTTATACTACAGTGGTTCCCAGAGGCCTCTGTGTGGATGGTGTCCCCACTGTGTGAGGTACTATACATAGAAATAATATGGAGTGACTGTCCCAAAGATATTCCATCTAAACGGGGATGTCTACACTGCAGCTGGCCATGGTAGTGGGGCTCGACCTCGCACACTTAACATAGCAGTGTTTGGTCTAAGCTCGGTGGCTAGCCTGCGTCTCCACTGGAGTCATAACATCCATGCTGCTATTTTTAGCACACTGGCTCAAGCCCCAGTAGCACAATTCTGTCTGCCCAGATCTCGGAGTCTCTGCCAGTAGCAGTGTAGACACTCTCACTGGGTTGGTGAAAAAGAAACACTAACATATACAGCTCTACTGATTTTAATGGAGTTTCAATCATTTGCACCAGCAGAGAATTTGGTACTTAATGTTCAAATATACCAGTTCCCTCTTCACTCCTCAACCAGAGTCATCATTTGCTGGCAGATTTCTTGTAGGAGTTGCAGCAGGAGTGTGTCTTCAGAGGGATTTGGAGGAGAAGGGGCTAGTGGTTTGGGCATTAGTCTGTGTGTGTGTGTGTGTGTGTGTGTGTGTGTGTGTGTGTGTGTCTCTCTCTCTGTGTAGGGGTATTACACACGTAAGTGATGGAAGAAAGTACCAAGATGTTTGTCGTCAGGGGTGCAGTCTTTTTGCTTATTTGTACAGTGCCCTGTGCCGTATGGACCAGATCTGTAACTGGGGTTCCTAATTATGACTGTAACTAATACAAAGATGAAGGGATAGGCAGAGCCATGTTGATGACACAGTGAAGACTAATTTTCTTGGGGCGTATTTTCTTTCCCTGTTGAATGTACGAGGTGCTGTCCTGAGTGGTGCTGTTGCCAGTTAGGGTAACCAGATAGCAAGTGTGAAAAATCAGGACGGGGGGGGGGGTAATAGATGCCTATATAAGACAAAGCCCCAAATATCGGGACTGTCCCTATAAAATTGGACATCTGGCCAGTACAGCACTCAAACCCTTCTGACAATATTAAGCACTTCCCAGATGTGAAGTAGTGGAATATCGCTGAGTTTCCCAGATGTGAAGTAGTGGAATATCGCTTCCTACTTCAGTGTGATACTTTCCCTCTGTTACATGAATTGAGTCTTGTAAAGTGGCTAATATAACTGTGTGCTAATGCCCTCTACTGACATAGAATGGACCTGCTCTTGTATATTTGCAGTCAGTTTTGTCCTAGTTCTGAAAAGGGCCCAATTCAACACTAAGATGTTCTTGTTGGATTAATTTACGAATAACCTCATTTGTTCTTAAACACTTCTTTGTTTTCCTTGTGATCAGAGCTAATCCAGTCCATGATGTCTTTTCTATATTGTAGCTCCATTAGTTTTCTTGTGTCTTTCTAGCTTTATTCAATAAGCAATGCTTCCATCTCCACCCATCTTTCAAGCAGGGCCGGCTCCAGCTTTTTTGCCGCCCCAAGCGGCGAAGAAAAAAAGAAAAGGAAAAACCTGATTGAGCTGCCGCTGAAGAGACGGAGTGAAGGACCCACCGCCGAATTGCCGCCGAAGACTAAAGTGGAGCACTTCAGCTGCCGCTGAAGTGCCACTATGCAGCCCCAATAACGGATGGATTGCCGCCCCTTTCTATTGGCCGCCCCAGGCACCTGCTTCCTTCGCTGGTGCCTGGAGCTGGCCCTGCTTTCAAGTACCTGCAATCACATGCTTTTCCCACGGGTTCTGAAGAATCTGACTCCATTTATCTTCATTGCTCTAATGACTCAGTTTAGACTATAAAATCATTGGGGCAGGGACTCTTATTGTGTGACGTTCCTTGAACATCCATGCTAAGATTTCAGAGTAACAGCCGTGTTAGTCTGTATCCGCAAAAAGAAGAACAGGAGTACTTGTGGCACCTTAGAGACTAACAAATTTATTAGAGCATAAGCTTTCGTGGACTACAGCCCACTTCTTCGGATGCATATAGAATGTTCCATATGCCCGGAGCCCGGACAGACGGGAAGCAGTGGAGCATTTAACAGCAGGGCTGCTGGGTCCTAGAGAGAGCCAAATGCAGCACAGTCTGAGGGAGGGGATTGGCTTCTGGGGTCTCTGGGAAGGGAAGGGGAGGGGTGGGGGAAGGAACTCACCTGTGAGTGTGACTCTTTCCCCCGGCGTGAGGCGAGGCAGGCTCGGCAGCTCTGGCACCAGTATCCTTTGTTGTCCCCAGGGCCGGCTCCAGGTTTTCTGCCGCCCCAAGTTGCAAAAAAAAAAAAAAA